CTGTCTTTTTTAAAGACAAAAATTTTTGAGGCGAAATACCCAAAAAGAAGTTTGTAAAAAAATGAATCCGCCTCAACAATATAGAACTTATCTACCATTTTTTTTCTTCCATCAAGCAGGTAGTTTTGAATCACCCTGTTTAGAGACTGTTACACGGAAAATATCGACGGTTAATGATAAAAATCGCTCCAAGTTGGCCATAATTTTCGTTTATTTCGGATTATAAGAGTCGAGTGGCGGTCTTTTTCAGCTTCTGGAATTCCTTATTTTTTGCCATTTCAGTTTACATTGTTTTCCTGCGTTTCGATTTTCTGTCGTTCAAAAATAACTTTTCACATGCGTTTTTTCCGCACTCAATTCGAGGCCTTCAACCTAGATATCTCCATAATATGCACAGATAGAGTATTTGGATCATAATAAGGCAACCTAAAGACCAGTCTTGATGAAGAAGTTTTTCTCGCTCAAAAAGTGTTGAAAATGATGAGACTATTTCGGATCTGAAGAGTCTAACATGTTTTTCTATGGTTTCGTTTCATGAAATTTTCATATTTTCATACCATTTTCATCACTGCCTTGCATTGCACAGTCAATAATGGGTGAAAAAAAAAATTGCTCTTTTTTTCGACCAGAACTATCAGAAACCTCACCCAATCTTTACAAACCCAATTTTTCAGAATTTAAAAATATGCGCTAATCTAAATTCGCTCTATTTCTCACATACTTTATAATATAACTTTCAAGTAACAATTCAACTTTCGGAGTTTTAGCTGATGACTCATTTTCAAAAAAATGTTGATCAATCTAGATGGTAATTTTTACTAGGCAAAACCACAACCAGGAACAAGCAAGGACAGCAACCCGTCCACTATCCTCCTTCTCTCTCTGTTCCAATGCATACTTTCTACCTAAGCACTGTCTATGTTTATTTGCCACAACTATGCCAGCAATTTTAATAATCATGAATAAATGTTGACTTAATTCTCCAAAATTGGCCCATTTTAGTGAAAAAACAACGAATTATATCGTATACGATGAGTTTGAAAAGTGCCTACAACAAAAGGTACCTAACCGTTTCGCCATTCACTCTGTCAGTTGTCAGAATTGCAGTTGTCATCCCAGCAAGTTATTTATAATTTAAAGGGGTTTGTTTAAACACATTTTTAAGCGAAATACACTATTCTATCACAGATCTGGAATAATGGAATGCATAGGTACGTAGTCGGTCACTAAACGGTAGTGCTGTCGGTTCTTTGCCGCCACTAGAAAGAGGTTTTCTCAAAAATGATAATTCATCTGCCATAAGTTTCTTTGTGCTTTTTACTGAACAATATTCTTAAGGAAACAGCGCTATTTCCTGTTTATTGATAAGTTTCATTCATTTACCGCTTTGCTGGCCGTTGAGCGGCAGTCTCCAATAGGGCTTTCCACGACTGTCACATAGTAATCCTCTTAGAAAGTTCTCTCATCCCTTTAACGATTTTGTGGCAAATTACGCTCTCCACTCACCTTCCATCGCATTCTTTACCATTTGCAATGCGATCCTTATACTCAAGAGCCACGACTAAGTCAAACATCTTTCTTACAGGCAGTGAAAATGATGTAAACGTAGTGGAAAGCAAAAATTCGGAAACTAGCACCAAAGATGATAAAAGTGATATAACAAGTGATAGACCTACAGACGAACCGTCAGACGACAAGTCAATAGAACCTACTGAGTGCAAAATACCTAAGACAGAGGAGAACTCAATAGTGGAAAGCTTGGCAAAGGCCTCAAGTGACTCTGTTGAGACCGTTGATATTAAGGTAGCAAGTCTTCCAATTGAACTCCCAGCACATTAATAAAAAAATACATTGATTCCAGGTTATTTTCAACAAGAAAAAGTACGATGTGAGTCCACCATCCAACTTACTAATATCCGAATTCAAAAAACAGCTGCAGGGTTTACTAGGTGTACCAGATTCTATGCAAAAATTAATGTTCAAAGGCTTGTTGCAAGACAGCCAAACCATCAGCAGTGCTGGCATTACTAAAGGGGCAAAAATCATGCTAGTGGGTTCCACCTTAAATGATATTCTGGCTGTTTCATCAGTTAGTAAGCAGGTAAGTGGCCAACCGGGAATTGGAGGGTTTTCACTTGCAATTCGCTTTAAAGGATGTGGCGGAGATGGAGAAGGCCTCCACTGTTAAAGAACCTTTATGCAAACAAAAAATCCACAGGAAAGTCCTAGACAAAGGAGTGCCTGATGATGCAATGCCAGGCATTAAGAGTCTTAAGGTACTTACTATCAGACAAAAAATGGGTAATTGCGCCTAATGGCAGGCTTTTTAGGAATCTCTGCCCCCCGTTCCACTATCGGGCATGCTAAACAAGCATGGAGGCAAAGTGAGATTAACTTTTAAGCTAGAAAATGATCAGTTATGGTTGGGTACAAAGGAGCGCACTGAAAAGCTACCAATGGGCTCGATTAAGGACGTAGTCTCAGAACCAATAGAGGAGCATGAAGAGTACCACATTATGGTGAGTGAAAGCGATTGGAAACAGGAGGTGCCGATTTTACACTTGAACTTGTTCTAGGGGCTGCAACTGGGCGCCACTGACGCATCGAAGTATTGGATTTATTGGGTTCCGGCCCAGTATGTCGATGCGATCAAAGACGCTGTCCTGGGTAAATGGCAACTGTTTTGATTTCAGATCAGTAAGTGCCACTAAACCAGTCAATTTTGAAAATTTGTATTTTCCGTTCTTATCAACATTTGCAGAATATACCATGTTGTACATATAATAAAACACCGAATGATGCGTTGCAAATTTGACAAATTTAAGTGTGTAGCTTAAGAATTCATCTCGTAATTAATTAAATTCTTGGCACTAAACTAATGAAGCACCGGATCTGGAAAGCGTAACTGACTAGTCAATTTAGGCGATTCAAATAGAAAAGTCTTACGCTACTAGAGAGATAAAGTTCAGGGCAAGCAAAAAATTAGGCTTAGGGATTGATCAGTAATTGTGTTTATTGTGGTGTTTTTTCAAATTTTGCATAGTTGCAAAACTGCTCATTTTATTTGGGGTAAATTGAACACCTTTTTACTGGATATAACATCAAAAAAATGAAAAACTCTTCAACTCCATTGGCAGTACAGTAGTACTATCTATTCATAAATGTATTACTACTTATCTTTTACCTACGCTAAAACAAAACATGGATAAATAAAGTTTTTTATGTTTTTTACAAGGAACTCAACAGTTTTATTTTTTCAATTTTCTACGCAAGTGAGCGAGGTCGACTCGTCCATACGTGTGGGTACACTAAGGCTAAAAGAATGCTGCCAAATAACCACTAAATACTCCAACAATCCCAACTTGTCCTAGCTTATTTTGTGCGTTGTGTGTTTTTAGTGCTCATCAACAAAAAAAGTTGTCGAACTTTTTAATACCGTTTATACAGGATGACCAGGTAGTCAAGAAAGTAAAATTGTTGCTAAGTAGAGTCATTTTCTGCATCGACAACAAAAATAACGTAACGCTAAACTCCTGTTCCTAATATTTGCTCGTTACCTCCTTAAACATTCTGATCTCCTGATACAAATTGAAACTTTTGTGTTCACAACAATCGCCGGTGTGTTCTTAAGGTATTAGAGGCATTTCAAATGACAGTACACTTTAATATTTCTATTGTTTATTACATTTTTTTCTAGGAGAACAGGTTCTATCAAATTTCGTTTAAATGGTATAATTTTTTATACACAGGGTGAATCATTGAAAAATTATTATGATGATACCAACGGGCTTATTTTGAACAATATTCCAAAATATTAACTCGCAGATTAGATCACAATCTTCTGAAAGAATTTAATTCAAATTGTCCCTGTTATTTTTTATGTTTTGCAGTAAAAGACAACTCTGTATTAATCATTTAATTAATTGATTAATTTGAATAAACTAATTTAGATAAAAACATTAAATGAATTGTAGAGATAAATTGAAATATTCGCTTTCAAACTGAATAAAGAATTAAAAAGGTGGTTTTATTTTGTGTAAAAGCAGTAGCATTCTATATTTTTTCTCTTTAAAAACATCCATTAACGTGGTAGTGCGGACGCTGCTGAGTTTAAGCCAAATTTAACCACCCTGTTTTTCCTTAATGAAACGTTTTCTGTATGGAGCTTATTGCAACATCAAGTTTTCGCTCTGGAAACGGAACCACCCTGTATAATTAATAAATAAATAAAAAATGTGATTTTTATCCTGTCATGCATATCCCTGACTTAATCAAATATACCGGGTGCTAAATAAAGTGGTTAATACATACACAGCCATTCGCATCAAGGTACAAGGTTTCACAAATAGCTTTCAATCGTTTTATTTAGCTCCACATTCATCCAGTCCGCGCAAATGTTATCCAAGTGGTTATCAAAGTCGATCAGCTTTTGGAAGGCTTTCTGTTGCATTAAAGCCACTATGGCATAGGAAGTGGCTTGAGCAGGACTTAAACTAATATTCTGCTCCTCAATCTGTCTAAAACCACCTTCCGATAATTGAGCCACTTTGAGGCTGGACGAGTCAGCTTCAGTTGATACTTTGGAATTGTTTACCTGTAAAAAAGGTTTAACCTCATTTTGCTGGACTTTCTCAATTATCGATCGCCTCAAAAATGCATAACTGCTGCACATTTTAGAGAGTAGAGTAGTTTTTTAAAATGAAAACTACATCTAGCGCTGGAAAACATTGAAGAGGCGTGCCACTTACCACAACCACATAAGACGGACTGTAATTGGAGGCGATTTTCTCCGCTACTTTATGATAGGTCTTTTCAAATGTGTTGTCCCTGATATTCTCACTTGCCGCATAGTAGCCTGCTATAACAAGCCCCATTTTGGACGCCAATTCATCAACCTGGAATTTACCAGCTATTTACAGCGGAAATGTGTGAAAAGGATGTAGATTCACACCTGCATTAGAGCTATTTCCGACATGGGAGTTAAATGGAGCGAAATGTGGAATAAGGGGACTGCGTCCACAAATTCGATTTCCCTTGAGCCTGCATTTGGTTTTGCCAGTAGAACGCCATTTATCGCGCAATGGGGATATTTAGCTGCGTGCAGTATTATCTTGCAAAATGCCTTGGCACTAAACTTCACTTCCGACATGATTTAACAGAGTTTTATTTCAATTATTCTTAGAAATTGCTGAAAAAATAATCCTAAGATACAAGTTGTTTCCACAATAAATCGCGACTGACACACGACAGTTTTGATAGTGGGGCCTGCTGATCGACAATGTTGCCGGATGCTTCAAATTCTAATCGAGTATGCGGTTGTTTTTTTCTAATTCTTACTGTTTTTGGTATGAATTTTGACAAACAAAATATCAGTGACAGGAAAATTACTTTCACGGTTTTTTTTGTCAAAAACAAGCGTATGGATTTTTGAACAGGCAGCGATTTGTTTAACTATTGCGTTGTTGCCAACTTCTATAATGGTGAATACTTGGCAGCAACGCAATGAATAGCCTGTTCAAAAAAAGGCTAACGGCTGTTTCAAGAAAAAAACTAAACGCCAAAGGAAATTTACTGCTACTGATATTTTCTTTGTAAAATTTAATACCAAAAACAGTTAGAAAAACTGAATACTGGATAATTAAAAAAAAAAATTCAACTATCGAATAAAAAACTGGGGAAAAAATCGAATAAATCTAGCTACCCCTATCGAAGTGCAAAAATATTTACTGACCAAATCAGCAAATAATCCTGTTTTTCTACCCCTCGAAGGGCGTTGCTATATTTGTTCCATTTTATCCAGTCTTTTTATTCAAGTTGGAAAAAGTTTATTGGCTTATTTGCTGATTTGGTCAGTAAAGCTGAGTGAGGTCTGTGGTCTGGAAATAGTCTTCGGTTTTGAACAGTTCCATATTGGTGCTGGCGCTAGTCGCTCTTCGTTCAGCTGCTTTCTTCTGCAACAATCAACGTTGCTTCAAGATCCTCCCGACCTTAGGTGATTTCACGTACAAATAGCGGCGTGAAGATATTGGACACCTTCTCAGTAACCTTGCTAGTTGTATCCGAAACCCCCAGTTTCGTCTCTGCCTCCTCAATCTTGGCCTCCAGCATATCCAGGTTGCTTTTGATGTGAGCGACCAGGAACTCGGTGCTGTCGATTTTCGCACACAGATCTTCAAACTCAGGTTTGTAGGCCAGTATCGAATTGAGAATATCCTTGGAGTCCTTTACATCCGGCTCGATAAAGGTGAACATGGCCTCAAACTCTTCAAGACGCGCCAGCATGTCGTCTATTGCCTTATTCACTGGCTCCAACTGAAATTAGCAAAACACATCAGCAAACGCAAATAATCAAGAAAATCAAACGTTTACCTTCTTCTCGATGTTGGTGTTGGTTATGTAGCTGCTGTAGTCTTCAGCAGTCCTACGTAGAACATCTTCGTTCTTCATTTTGCCCCCTTCACATTGCCTAATTAACCTAAATTAATGAGTGACAGAACATGTCAATGTTCTGTTGGCGCTGATTGGTTGGGCTCACAAATAGCGGGGATAACACGTGTAATGATTTGGTTGCCACATCGACCAAAATTTCCACTAATGAAACATGCATGGAATTTCACTCCTATAACTTGCAAGATTATACACTGGCAATGCCTCAATCACCTAAGACAATGCTACTATATCAAGGAAGTTTCAAATATACAAATTTCAAGGCCCCCCAAATGAAGTTGGCCATATAAAAAAATTAAACCCACCCAACGAAGGTGTATTGATCATAAAGCGTGGCAACACAGCACGGTCTCCTGATTCCAAGGGGCGTCATTAATGTGACGTCTATCATTATTTATGATTTTTTATGGATAATTTGTAAAACTGGCTGTTTTGAGTGATAACACGCTCTGATTCAAATTAAAATGATCCGTAAATCAAGTCCACATACAGTCAACTGAGTCTGTTCACGGCAAGTCAACTAAGGTTACGTTACTAGTGTATGGGCCCCATTGGACAAGGTGAGCTATTTACATTAGCCTTCAGCTACCTTGCAAAGGGAGCCTACAGCCCTTAATTGTTACCGCTCATGCTTTCAGGTTTCTTGCATGAGGTGTTTGCAGTGCCAAGTGTCTCTATAACAACCAACCGCAATAACACAACAGAAAAAAACCGAAAGCGTTTTTTGTCAACTTTACTTCAGACTTGCATTCTACAACATGTCTGAAAATGGCCACGAAAAGCCCCTGAATGGCCTCAGCAATGGCTCAGCTGCACATGAGAGGCCCATTCGTGTTTGGTGCGACGGATGGTAAGTACCTACTTACTATCTGATTTTCCACCCTTTAAAATAGCGCTTACTCATCACTGTAATCAAATATTAAATGAGTATGTGCGTATGTGATTGGCAAACTAATATTTCGCCAGTCAATTGGGGGGTAACCCTGGTGGGTTGTTCAAGTTCATATCTTTTGACGCTGATCTCAAGGAATTTGCGCCACTATTTGGCAAAGATAATTGCTTTTAAAGCCATCCATTAGATTAAAATATTCTTCACAATTGGAGAAGCTAAAAAACTCGCCGGATAAGGTTTGGGAATTGGGAGCAATGCCAGCAGAACCTTCAGTGGTCTTAATTTATAAGCTTACAGCTGCTTTTGATAAAGAACTGTGCAGTAAATAGGTACGTAAAGCAAAAGTTTTTGTAAACAAACAACAAAACTTGTTCGCAGCGTTTGGCGTTTGAATACAAATCCAACAAATTGCCAGTGATTCATGATAGGTACTTCACTAATGTGCTCGGTTAACTACACACTTTTTCGACATTAAAACCCACTTCATGGTTTTATTTGGCCCGGGGGAATTTTCCATTAATACACCACATTAAGGTCTGAGACTTTTGCTAGCTGAGAATATCGTTTTGTTTAGAAGTCTTTCTACGGTTGGAAAATGAGTCTTTATAAACTCATTAAGCCAAAAGAGATTGAAAAGTCGACAATCTCTTGTACGTTATATTAAAAGTTCTGCGTTCCAAGTTAAAATATTTTTTGCGTCAACGTTTTTTCGTGAAAATTTGATCGATTGCTTGAATACTGAGCAATCGAACGTTTTGCTGGCGAAATCTGGCATTTTTTGAGGAGGATTCATCGGTTTTTTTACGCAAAACAGCGGGTTTAAAGTTTCCAACCGACCAGGGCCAATGAGAAGACCACATGAAGAAGTACACACTTAATTGAGCCAATAAAGCAGCGCGACCAGTACGAAATTGTTGTTAAACAAACCTATTATATTGACTTAAATCAAGCCATTGCTCAGCAGCTAAATTCTCCACAATAAATTCAAAGAGAACTAAAATGTAAACCCGGCTTACACAAAACTTATAAGTAATTAATAAAACAATTTAAACAGAAAACTAAAATTTGCTGACCAAAAATCCGCTAACTTTGGGTTTTAAACGTACTTTTTTGCGATACCCGACTTGCGAAACTGGTCTATGGCAATATTTACGTATTTCCATACACCAACGCAGTTTTATTGAACATTTTAGATATTTCATAACTAAATCTACTCTAAGGTCAACTATTTGTGTGTGTTTTATTATCGCTCAACATTTATTGATAAGTTTTAACCGGATATACAAGAGAAATCAGCACCGCTGCCGCTGCTGCTGCTGATGGAAACCTTTGAACCTAAACTCCCAAAATATTTGGGAATTGTTGCGTGTAACAAACAGTCTACAATTAACTAGACTGTAAAATTTATTATAAATGCGCAAAACCATGCTGGACGTGAAAAAATAGGCCTGACTAATTAGATTATTGGTTTTGTTCCGACCAGTAGAGGCTGAATTTTCACTTATCTGATGATGTAATTGTACACTGTGAGTGAGGAATAAATGCAAGGGGAATATTTTGGTTCAAACTGCGATAATTCTGAATAAATGAAACCTGTTTTTTACAGTTACGATATGGTGCATTTCGGTCATGCCAACTCATTAAGGCAAGCTAAAGCGCTGGGAGACTATTTGGTGGTCGGTGTGCATACTGACGAGGAAATCACCAAACACAAGGGCCCCCCAGTATTTACGCAACAAGAGAGGTAATAAAATAACAATTGTTTAGATTTTTATCAAATTCTCATCAGGCTCAGGTGTGTTTCTCCACTTGAATCCCCATCGATTATGGCTAAGCTTTGACGTCGACATTGAATGCAAATGCTTAATCGTTGGTATTCTTTGCGATTATCACAGCACTTGTTTTGTGATGATTAAATTGCGATTAACAAATGTGTTTCTAGGTACAAAATGGTACGCGGAATTAAGTGGGTAGATGAGGTGATTGAAGGTGCCCCTTACGTTACCACGCTGGACACTCTCGATAAATATGATTGCGATTTTTGCGTGCACGGCGACGATATAACAATGACCGCCGAAGGCGTTGATACGTATCACATGGTTAAATCGGCCGGAAGATATAAGTAATAAATCGAACTTAAAGCTCGAAAACTCAAATTCACCGATACTTTTCCAGGGAAGTACAAAGAACAGAAGGAGTCTCAACCACTGATCTGGTTGGTAGAATGCTTCTTCTCACACGGAACCATTTCAAGCAAGGTCAGTATGAGTACAGTGTTGAAAAAGAGCATTCTACAACCATGGGTCAAGATTCTTCTGCTAGGTCGCCTTGGACTGGTTGTAGCCAGTTTTTACCTACTACTCAAAAGATTATTCAATTTTCTGATGGCAAGGCGCCAAAAATTGGCGATAGGGTTGTATATGTTGCAGGGGCATTCGATTTGTTCCATGTCGGACACTTAGATTTCCTCGAAAAGGCTCGAGAACAGGTAATATTATATTAAACTAATTTTCATTTCGGAATGTTACTCCAAAAGATCCGTTCTCTTCCAGGGCGACTATCTAATAGTCGGGTTGCACACCGATCCAATTGTAAATATATACAAGGGCTCAAATTTTCCGATAATGAACTTGCACGAACGGGTATTGAGTGTTTTAGCGTGCAAGTATGTTTCAGAAGTCGTGATTGGCGCACCATATAAGGTTAATATATAGAGTTACAAAGGGGCTAATTGATGATGGCCCTAAGCTTCATTTTCAAGCTGCAGGTGGAAAACTCTTGAAATTTGGAAGTTTGCAAACGGTCTTAAACGTTCCAAACCTGCCCACTAGCAAAGTTCAACTGAATTTACTTTATTACTTTTCACCCTGTATCTTGAAAATCAAACTTTTCTATTTTGAGTTTACTTCAAACATACGCCCATTTCCAAAAAAACTTATTCTTTCCAGGTGAGTGAAAGCTTAATGTCGCACTTTAAAGTAGACATAGTCATTCATGGCAAAACCTCCGTAATGAAAGACGTTGATGGAAGCGATCCCTATGAAATCCCCAAGCGCCTTGGCAAGTTCAAAGCTGTAGATTCAGGTGAATTTCTTCGAACATTTTCAAAATCCGATTTAAACTAAAACAGTGCTTTATTGGCAGGTAATGAGATGACTACCGAAAAGATCGTCGACCGAATAATTCGAAATCGGATGGAGTTTCAAGAGAGAAACAGGCTAAAGGAGAAAAAAGAGATTGAGTTGATAAAATCGCTAAAACTCAAGGGTTTAACGGTGTGAACGGTATATTTGCCTTTTTCTTTGGGGTTTTTTACACTAGTACCAGCACAGGCAAGTAGAAGTGTTTAAGGGATTATTTTCGCTTTGCTTTATTTATTGGATGCTAACGATGTACCATCAGTTGAATGTACTTGGATATTTTCTTAAAGCCGAACTTGCTCCATTCTTTTTTATCTTTTTGTACCAGCTTTTACTATAGCTATTTAAGGTTTTAGTAGTTGAAAGTGTTTTGTCTCTTATTAGCGATAAGCCAAAGAGATGTACAGTAAAGTTACTTAGCCATAATGTTTGTGATAGATAATTCTCTTAGAGTTTAAGAATGTTCCTGTCTGTATCTCTCCTGTTATTTATTTAGTTATTTGCATAACTTTTTTCTTCAACACTTTTTATTTTGCATTGTTATGTCGGCAAGGGATTTTTCTCAGCCAAATTCAAAGTGTTCCGATGAGACAAGCACATGTTTTCCTTCAAATCTTGCCCTATAACTACAGTTTGATATGCTTGAAAACCCTTTAGTTTAACAATGGATCAACAAAAAATTATATGCATTTGAATAGGACTGCCAAATAAAATTTTTGTCTCGTTTATGAGACGAATGTTTCGGTAGTATCCACTGAGACATGGTTATATAAACTAATGATTTTGATTGATTTTTAGCATTTAGAAGAACGTGGGCTGTTTTAAAATTTACAAAGACTATATTTTAATATTTTTTATCACTAGGCTGTATAAATGTATAATCAAGAAAATTTGAAGATGACAAATATTGATTACTAGTCAACAACTGCGATTCACTGCAGTGTTTACTCGTTATTTATTTGGTATTATGTAGATTTACAAACAATAGGCATTGTCAATTTATCGGTTTATTGTCTTCGCTTCTTTTATATGTGTTTTTTTCCGAAGCTACCGAGTTGTCTAACTTTACTCGAATGTATATTGTACTCTTTTTATTGTTAAATATTCAAATAAATGTTTTTGTAAATTATTTTACTTTACTACTGCCTACTTATGTTGAACATGTGTTTTACCTCCTGGTTCTCTACGAATTGAAAGATTAAAATACGTAAGAATACACATATTTGGCGAATTCTACTCAGTTTTTTCAGGGTCGGAGACCCCGCCGTTTCTAATGACAAATTCCACTTCTTGCTCTTCTAGTTTAGGACTATCAAACAATCTGGCTATTCGCACATTGCCTTTAGCTGAAATCAATAGACTTTTACAGTGAATTTTGAACCCGATAGACAATGACTCAATGAACCGAATCAATCAAAGATGTGATACATGCCTTTTCTCAGCGCAATTCTCGTAGTAGAAGAATGCGCCAAAATATTACCACCTACTGGCTTGATGTCTAAGTCGTTGATTAGACTGTATTGGAGATCAGTGGTTATTTGATTAGTCAGAAATACCGCAACGTTATATTCTTCGCTAATTTTCTGCAACACCGTCAACTAAGCGACAAAGGATATGGGGAAAGTTCGCTTACCTGCAGTTTCGACAGCATAAGCCCTAGTTTTGACTGCCTTTCGGTCATCTCTGCGGATCCAGTGAAGTCCACCCTGAACAAAGCCATTATCGAGTCGATGATCAGGAGTTTGAACATACCGGGCTCTTCATGGAACTTATCGGATACACTAAAAAAGCCAAACTGATAAGTGATTGAAACGAAAAAGAACCTTAATAAGGGAAAATGTACCTGTTTAAAAGCTCGTATTGATGCTCAGAGTTATACGCGCGGGCGTATAAAATGTTGTCCAATACAGCGTTGGAATCCAATTCAAATCGGTCTGCGATTGGTTTAATCCTGTCCGGCCGGCTGTGCAAGATGCAATTAAGGATTATTCGGCTTGGAATTATAAAAAAAAGAGTGGTATAAAGGATACAAGGTGCGTTCAGTATCAATGTACATGACTTTCCCGCCAGTATACCCAGTATCGGTTGGTAGTTGAGCGGTAACGCAAAGCGTGTGAGCCAGTTGAGTTTTTCCAGTACGCGCCTCCCCAAACACTTCGGTGATTGACATCGACTCAACTCCTCCTCCAATAATTTTGCTGATAGAAAAACAACCAATTAATCCTCAGGTTTGTTGCCTGCGGCTTTATATTTACTCGATATTTTTGCTGCCAGTCGTCAGGGTGAAAAGCTGCTTGCGTTGCTCGCATACTTCAAGTCCAGTCAGGAAACAACCGGCTGTACTAACGGGACAGATTTTTCCGCAGGCGTCTTTGATTTTATTCACCTTCTCCTCACTGAATCCTTTGAGAGTCGACAGTTTTTTTCTGGTGCACATTTGAATGCCTGAGGGAAATAAATTATGTTTGAGTTCTACTTTTTAGGCGCGCTTCGACCCCATGAAATAGAAGAATGCATTACCGCACCTTTAACTGTGTTAATGCCCGATTTCTTCAGTTGCTTGATATCATCCAACGCAATGCCGTGCTCTACAAGCAAATCAACATCGAAGAACGTGATATCTTCTTCTTCAATATGCCCCAAAGACTCTTCGGTTCTGGTATCGCTGCCATCTTCTCGAATTTCTTCGCAAAGCTCTTGAACTGGCTTTTCCAACTTTGCGGCCATTTCGAGTCACTGCGAAATACGTTTAAATTTGTAACTTAAAACTGATTTTATGAATAACGCAAATTGAAAACGCCACTGTCAAAGGCGCTCGTTTCAAATCGGCCATATTCGGCGCGCATGGCCTGCTTGAAAAGCCAAAATCACATAGGCCGAATGAACTGGATTAAGGCGTGTCCAACATGGCCGCCTTAAGGCATTTAAAAATTCTATTTCTTTACAAAACTACCACCAATTCTAAGGAAAAAAAATTAAAATAAATAATCGATTAAAACCTAAAAAATACACGGAATAAGTTATATTAAATAGATATCAACAAAAATACACTCTTAACATACAAAAACAATGTAGTACTAACTACACAGGGTGTATCCTGTATCCGGTATCTCGAAAATCGTCGCCTGCTGCATAAATCTGCGATAGGACATTTTACACACCCTGCATCAAGGAATGTCGCACTTAAATAATCTAAAATACATTAAACTAGCGGTCTTTGGTTTATTCGAACTTAACATTCCGAAGATGTTTGGTGTGTTTCCTCATTCTCATCGCCTCCCCTCTGTAGGCGTTCTCGATTTCCTCGAGAAAACTACTCGAATTGTGTATGGTTGTGCCGCCCAACAGTATGTTGAAGCTGGGATAAGTCTTATTAAAAGAGTGCACTGTTAGGGATTCTTCATAAGTGGCGCCCCCGACAATAAAGACTATTATGTCTTGCGCCCTTAAGCCACTCGAGTGGTTGCCCACCACTGGGTAAAGGTTCTCTCTCAACCTGCCCTTGACAAGGTCTTCCAGAATATCGTGCAGCAACGGCTTGTGCTGGGTGTAAACGTTGTCGACCCCACTAAGGCCTTTGAAGAACCGTTTTGTAATCTGAACTGCGTCCTCCACGTTAAACAAGTTGCTTTGTCTTGCATGCGATCCCGCATACTCCAAAAGATACACGATGTCTTTAATTAGTTTGTCGCTAACGCCCCGTTTTTTCAGCAGTTCTATTAGGCCAAAGGTTTCATTATTTGTGTGGTTTTGGTAGCGCAAAGCATAGAGCATGACTAGTTTGGCTGCATCTGTATGTCGGATTTTATCGTCTTGGATCACTTTTTTCACACTGTTTAAGTGCGAGGAATGGTCATTTTGCGAGCTGATTTCCTGCTCCACTTCGGACACATCGAGAAGATGGTATTTGTTTACCATTGAGCTCAATTCGCCCACGACTGTTACGTGTTTAGTGACATTGCCCGATAGTTTCTTAAATTGCGGATACGACTCCACGAAACTTTTCATATCGGCAATGCTTTCGATTTTCTGATGGCTCTTTGCCTTGGCCTGAAACTGATCCATTAATTGCTTGATGTTCTGCCCAATTTCCCCGTAGTTCATGAAGATGTTTTTCGCATAGAACGCATCCTGTTCTGCGGATAGGACCACCTCGGAAAGCTCTTTGGATACACCTAGTAACAGTTTCAAATGAGTAAAGTTTGAGAGCAAAAATTGAGGCCAATTAATCTACCTGGAATGTTCGAGAGGTTTACTCGGTTATTGTTTATGGTGAGTAATTCGTGAACCATCGCCTGATAAGTCCACTGATTCAACAACGGGGTGATTGGGTCATCCCTTCTGTCCAGAATCAGCAATAGACTGTGCCCGCCTTGGCCGAAGGCAAACAGGGACGATTCCTTGTTCATGATGTCTTCTATTCTACTGCCTAAATCTAGGGCAAGTTTGGAGTTTGCCTGATACCTGGGGTATTTCGATACAAGGCTGCTGTTATGGAGAATGCCCACTTTCTATTTCAAACAGTTACCGTATAATAGGGGACTTTTTCAGAGACAGAATAACTGAAACTAGGCCTTGCACGGATCGTTGCAATGCGCTCTGATTCCAAGCCAATCGCTCCATGCAACAGGGAAGCCCCATGGAGAACAAATGCGGATTAACTGCCAAGTAATCCATGTAAAGCTCCAGGACTTCTTTCACGACTTCTTGCTCGTCATTTTCAGCTGCAAATGAGGGCATACAGCTGGGATTTCCTTACTACTTCCAATTCAGCACTTACCCAGCATTTTAATGTCGGCTTTTGCCACAATATTGGAAAAATATATGTAATAAGCACCGTACTTGGGGTTACGAAGTTCACTGCACAGTAACTCGATATTGCGCTGCGTAGGCCGCAAAAAGGCCAAACACTTAAGATAGCGGAGCCCGGTGGAATTGGCATAGTTAGGGGAATCGATCCTTTCCAGCAGGAACACTTCCTTTTGCTGAATTTCACTTTGACTGTAAACCATGCTGATCACACTGGTTGTTTCTTTGTCCATTAGCAGGACTTTCATGCCCGGCTCACTTTCATCGGTCATTTTATCCACGTAGGCCTTTACGGCCCCAATTACGTTCATTTTTGTCGATTTGTGTTTAAATATTCTCAAAACAAATTAATTTGACGTCTTGTCCTAACCTAACTTTTTGCATGGTCTTTGCAGAAATCTGACGTCTACCAATTATTATTAGAAAAAGAAACTGGCGCTAAAGCGTTAGGCAGAAAAGGATAGACATAGAAATTGGTTTAGATATCACTTGTCAATGTTGAAATGGCTTTATGACATCCCGAGGTTTTAACCCAAGAAATTGGCGAAAATAACTGGAAAAACACAGGAAATAGAAAATGGGGACAGGTCCAAGCAAGACTAGAAGATTAACTGTTGAAAACGATGATCCGACGAGTGTTATTAAAGTTTCCGAAGATGTAGTAGACCGGATTCGAGGAGTAGCTCAAAGTAAATTTCTAACCTCAATTCATGTTTTGGGCCCCTTTTCTCACGAGTTTTCACTGAATTCAGCAAATTCCTTGCTCAAAATTAGCAGCTTTACACACCCGAATTCATCCAGGCACAAATGCTTGCTAATATCAGTAAAACTTAGTTGGGAAAACATCGGTTACATAATATTCAGGAAGGTGCCCAATTAGTAATAAATTTGTTCCAGCGGTAAGAAGCCAAGAAGCACATTCATACCCGCCACAAATGCCCACACCACAAGCACCCACAGTAGTTCCAGTTTATCTCCACGAGCCATCATTGACCAGTCTTCAAATTCGACAGGTAATTTGTTAACGTTTCCACTGGGTAAATGAGTTAATTTGCGGGTTTCGGTGTTTAGGCGAATGTAGCAGAGCTGAAGAAGAATGACGAGTATTGGGCGAACCGGATCAAGGCCCTGGAGCAGAACCACAAGAAAATGAACTCCGTTATGGATGAAGAGTATAAGAAAGCGGTAATGAATTAACATTCAACTAGCGATTAAAATGGGCTAAATTTCCTTTAATTCCAGTTAGATGAATTCAAATCAGGCAAACCGGCGCAGGCCCTCAAAGAAATCCCTTGCCTAGATTCCCGGAAAGCTGTTATGGACTGTTACAAGTAAGCAATTGCTTACAATTGCAAACAAATCAGTCTAAAAATTATCACTTTTTTTAAGGAAGAATCCCGACTGCCCAATGAACTGCGCCAAAATCGTACAAGCCTTCCAAGAGTGCGTCGATTACAAAAGATCATGTTTACTGGCCAGCAGAGTTGCAACCAGCAAAGGCTAAACACTCAGTAGATGAGTGGAATAGAGAGCGCATATGTAATATATTTCTTTGAAATGAAATCGCCGCATTATTGTAACTAAATAAATTTTTCGTTTTAAAACCTGCCGAATTTTCATTTGAGGTTCACCACCCGAAAGGCCAAGTTAAATGCCCATCGACTAACCCCTGTAATGTGGATATGTTTACTTACATGTTTAATGACGCTTTGGCTCAATTTTTTAATTCCTAAACACCCTGTAGATATCTTGAAAAATACTTTAATCTTTTTAGAGTTTTCAAAAGCCAGTTGATATGTCACTGTCAGCAATCAAATTCCCCACTCCAACCATAATATAATGTCCGAATATACAGGGTTATCAATTTAACTGCAATGTCTTCAATGGCGCGATTCGCTTCATTGTTTAATATGCATTTTGCCCAACAAGTTCCGATTTAATGGAAAATAAGCAAAATTGCGTCTATAGTCAAAGCGTGCCAGGACAATGACGTTAAGGATTATTATTAATTTTGACACCTGAATGTAGGTATGTCTGGTGGCGTACATCTGTGAGTTTCTGTTGACTGCGTTTTTCCGAGTTTCAACTTGTTGCTTAGGCGATTTATTGAGGAAACTTAGTCAGATGAACACGCATTTGCACTTGGATTGTTTCACAAGAACCTTTTGAGAATACCATTCATCTTATATTCATATTCATTCATCATCTTTTGAGAATATCAAAATTGTATTTTGCGTCCATTTGAGGTACTTTCCTCTCGCTCTTGCAAGATTATTTAATTGTAAATATTTCAGTTTACATGTGAAAACATCTGGCAACTATACAGGGTGCGCCGCTATTAAAGTCGTCATAAAAACAAATTTACGTCGACACGCACATTATAAGCCTGTGGCCTGATGATTATACCGAAAATTAACGAAAACTTGACTTTTTTATACCAAACACCCAGTATATTATATAAAACGCCCATCAATTATTGAAACAGAAAAATTCGAAACAAGAATTTTTGATGAAGTTCTTTTAGGAATAAGTCTAAAAGTTCTTCAAAAGTTTTTGGGTTTGGTTGGCCCCCAACCAAGCTTGCAACTGAGGAGTTTGTCTAGGCTGTCGTGGAAAATAATGTATTCCTGACGTTTCGCAAGCACGAATGGCTTGCATCTTCAGAGGTGTTTCACACGAAAGCTAGAAAACTGAAAGTGGGAGTTTTTCGGACCACAGAAAGTTGAAAGTGTGATTGATTTTTTTAACGGGGTTTAAAGACCTGGGCTTTTTTCCCGACGTTTTGCAAGCACGAGTGGCTCGCATCTTCAGAGTGGTGCTGCGCCGAGCAAGCCTGAAATAACTCGTGCTTGCCAGAAAAAACGTCTTTTCCTTGACGCCCTAAAACCCGAAAAACTCACTTTTTTCAGGATTTTTTCACTCATTTCAGTGAAACCACCAGCAACGTTCAGGGCAGGTTGATAAATAAAATGCGCAACAAACCAAACGTTACACGGATAATTTCTGATTGCTGCAAGCGATTTAATTTCTATTTGCACCATTCTCGAGTTGAATGTTTTTTCATCGGGGTTTAACGGAGTGGACTTTTTTTCTCCACTCCACGAGCTTCAAAATTCGAAAAACTCAAACTCTGCATGCGCTGTTCGAGGAGGCCTCGATGAGGATGAGGAGGAGGAGGAGGCGCTTCTGATAAGTCCCAGCGATTGTCATGGAGACCGTGAGATGCGTTGGTATGATTTTAGGTATTGGACGACTCTCGCAGGACGATCGACCTACTTTTCTAACTCCAGGTCACGAGAAAGCGAAAAGGTCGCTAATTTATCCAATCAATATCAGCTCACTTAATTACATTTTAATGCAGACATCAAAGAAAATTCCCCAAGCTTTCCAGCCTCCAGTTCCATTATCTAAGCAATCAAGCATCGATCTAAGCAATCAATCTAAGCATCAAATGTTCAACTTAAAGTTGGCATAGAACTGAAGGAAATCCCGATAACATGATTCAATTAAAGGAATCGAAAGTTTGTCGAGTTGAACGGGAAATGTGCCGATTCATGGACCGAGGAAGAAACTAGTACAAACTGATCTCGGAAAGTACAACTAGTCGATCCCACACAGATTCAGCTTCGCGAAGCTGGGAATAGTCCGGTGTCGACCGTAGCTGGGTCAGGCAGCAGCGTTGCAGCCGGATCGATGCTGCGGGGGCCCCCGAATGGGCCAGCGGGCCTGCGAAGGGCTCGATCCCGAGCTCTTGCAGCATATCCGCGAGTGTCCCTGTCCTTGTGACCATATGGGATATGGCAACTATTTAGACTACCAGGTAAGGCTCGCAATTAATCAACTAGCTGCTAATTAATTAGCAGCTAGTGCCACTTTCCAGCACCGTTTGCTGATTTGCTTCAGGCGTTTGGTTCGGTTAATTAACGGCACCGATGAATTTTTGCACAGTTTCAAAGGAAATTGCTCAAGAGATGGGGGTTTCTAGCTGTTTGCCAAAGGTTGAGTTTTGAACCGTGCGAGGCTTGCAGGGAAGGCTCCCTTGAATCTTAATTAGTAGATCATTCGAATTACTCAATATTGGAGGCCTTTGAGAAAGATTGCCAGAAAAAAATACTCTGAAAGATTCTGCTAATGCATTAAATCGAGTCTGATTGAATATTTCGAGTCATTATCTCGATTATGAAAATTATTCGATTATTCCTGTTACTAGTCTTAATTGTACATACTTTCCTGACTGTGTTTCAATTCCAAATCAAAATTAATTCCT